GAAAGTTTTCTGCGGGCGCCCATGTATGCGTATACTGATTAAGCTAAGTAACTAAGTATATTACTTATACTACAATTGTGTATATACTTTATACTGCATAATATTTAGTATAGTAATAGGCTATTACTATTATACTAGCGGTATACAGATATTACCATACTAATATTAGTAATAAATTTGCCCTTTTTTATAATTGATAGTGAAAAAAATTAGATAATAACTCGTGACGGTTCAGTATACTAATAGTAATATTAATAGCCTACACCCAACAATAATTTTTCACCAGTCTAGTTCTAATGCATTATATGATTATTCGCAGATTTCGGTCTGCCGATAACGCTAAACATTATTCACAGAGCTGTGTGGATAACGCTTGCCGTTATTCACAGATTTCGTTCTGCCGATAACGCTAAACGTTATTCACAGAGCTGTGTGAATAACGCTTCCCTTACAAAAATGCTTCTTCCTTTTTAAATTAAAAAAATAAATAAATAAATAAATAATTCTTGTTTAATTAAAACTTCTCATTTTGCGGACTTCCGATTTCTTACTTCTATAAAAGTTTAAATATTATTTCTTAGTTAAAAAGGCCCTTAACTTAAATAAACATTAAATGATGTGTCGCCAGCAAAAGTCACATTTTGGAGAAAAAAAATATTTTTTTTTTTTCGAAGTGGCTATATGTACCCGAGTACCCATCGTCGCCAATGACTATTCGCACCCGAAAGTCTTAGTAATCGAAAAAAACAACATGATCCGAACCAGAGGCTTAATAATCGACAAGTTTGCGCGCTTTCTTTTATAAACATGGAGGTTGGCAGCATTTTTTACACCTATGCGTCTTTTGAAGACGAACTGAATTATTTTTGTAAAGAACACAATGTGTTTCACTGAAAGATCGTCAGAGAAGATGAAAGATCCCAATTTGGAACACCTTAAATATGAATATATAATTCACTGTTGCAAACAAGGAGTTAAACGCAAGTCAAAGTCTTCAACGACAAGAGGTCAAAGAAAATCACAAGCGTAAGTAATAAAGTAATAATACTAGGTTAACTTTAAATTTAGTTGGTCTTGTCATGTAATAATTCTTTCTCCAAGCCAATGATTATTACCTCGGTAAATGCAGAGGACGAATGCCACTATTTTATCGATGGCCGCGACTAATCATTAATCTAAATCCCTAAATCATTATCCCTAAATCGATCCCTATTTAAAATGCCTAACCTGAACCCTAAATCGACCCCTCAACCTAACCTAAACCCTAATTCACTGCAACTATAATAAAGAAGCAAATGCCGTTGCATTCGTGCTCTACATTAGCCGTTACCACTTTTGGCAATTCGTTGAGAATTTTTATATTTTTCAGTTCTTTCAAATTGGGATGCCAGGCAAAGATAAAGCTTGTTGCCAAGAGAAATCCATCTCGGCTAGAAATTACCAAATCAATGCATGAACATACTGGCCATGAAGTATCAAAAGAAGTAAGTGCATGTGCTGCGAAAAATATTTACATAATAATAATAAATAGTAAATAGCATATTCTTGTGGCAGGTTGTTGTCACCTACAGGTACTCTTAGTAATATAGAGTTAGAGATGGATGCATTTTAAAAGAATGTTTTCTACCATTCATTAACCCATTCAATCTAGGGCGCTCAGAAATTTTATCACTGAAAACCTTAGGTTAATGTTAGGATTAGGGTTACCACCCTTACCATAGCCATAGAAAGGTTTTGAAAAAAATTAAGACAAATCTATTTAACAGTAAAATTAAATTTAATAAATTCTAAATAGTCCAGAGTTTTATATCTTAATTTTGAATATTGTGACATATAATAAACTTAAAACATTTATCCCCAAGGTGAAGGTTAGTTATTTTTATGTACACGTCGGAGAGCCCAGCCGGGGTATCGCACTATATAAGACCAATGTCCCCTCTAAGGTTTGTTGTTTTGTGTGCAAAATCATACAGTTATGTGCAAAGTTTTACAGCATCAATTTTTTTTGTGTGCAAAATTTTACAGTCCAGAAACACAACCACACACTTACAGGGAAATTTGCTGCGCGTATACTCAAAA